TGTGTTAGTGGATCGACATCCGCAAGTACTCAGTTGATTGACTTTCTGAACGACGAACAGTTTTTGTGTGCCTAGTTTTATATCGGCCCTATCTTCATTGGGTTACCGTTCTTATTTCCATTGATTTACCCTTCTGTTTTGTTTTTGTTTCGATCGTTAATAATGTCCATAAGACACAGTAACGAGAATTTACCGCCTCAGGTCAGCGTGTGCGTTATATGCCGGGAAAATTTTAGCGAAAACGATGAAATCCTAAAAACGGTATGTTCGCACAAATTCCACCGACATTGTTTGCTGAATTGGTTAAAACGCAATCCCTCCTGTCCTCAGTGCCGTACTGCTTGCAGTAGCCGAGATTTTTTAGCTGGTACGGGGGCACGTTCACGGGCAAAACAAACGGCTACAAGTGCTAACTCAGGCGGTAATAATCCAAATTTAGATTCGACCAGGCAAACTAATCAGCCCGAAGAAGGAGCCATGGGCTTACCGATAAATACTGATCGCAACAACCTTGTCAATGTAAACCTGACGAGTGAGGAAGCGCGTATCAACACGCTAGTTAACGCTGTGATTTCTGCTCGTCAGGCCTCTATCTTTGACGGACTCGAAACACGAGTTACACAGTTGCTCGAACAGCAAATTGAGGGGGCATTAACTAACTTACTAAGCCGAGTCAATTTAAATGGAGCTCCACCGGTAGCCTCCAATAACAGCAATAATCAAAACCAAAATATTTCCCAACAAAATCCCCATATATCTACTCCTGTTTTACCCCGCGAAATGCCCTATTTCGAAAATTAATCGAGTCATGACCAGTTTAATCGACAACTAGACCAATTTCGCTTCAGTAACGTGTGGTCAAGCTTTAACAGTGCCAAAGCCGCTAGGTTAATCGCAATCTGGGACATCAAATTTGATGGGTCTCCCAATCTCACGGTAGATAGTTTCATTTATCGTATCGAGTCGCAGGTTGTAGATACCCTAAATGGCAATTTCAACTTGCTATGCGAGAACGTTCAGTGTTTGTTCTCAAAAGAAGCCAAGGACTGGTACTGGCGTTATCGACGCACCGTTGAGCGGGTAACATGGCCTTCGCTGTGCCAGGCCCTACGTATGCACTTTGAAGTGCACAAGACTGACACTGAAATAAAAGATAATCTGCGTGCTCGTAAGCAAGGTGCAACCGAGTCTTTCGACGAGTACCGTAACTCCCTTTTAAAAATCGCGGAGAGTTTGCGTTCGCCGTTACCGGAAACACAATTAATAGAAATTATGCAAAGAAATTTGCGTCCGCGAGTACGGCAGCAACTCTTATACGTGCCAATAAACTCGTTAGCAGAGCTCCGCAGACTGTGTTTAAAGGGCGAGAGTCTGTTTAAAGAGATTTCTAGTAGCCAACAACATTTACCTCGAAGACAGATTAGTGAAGTTGAGGAAGATTTAAAGTTTGAGCCCGGGTTACTTAGCGCAGAAGTAGAAGCGATTGCTCAGCGAGCAAAAACCCCTAAAATTATTTGCTGGAATTGTGGAAAGGAAGGCCATGCGTTTTATGATTGTCTAGAAGATAGGCACATTTTTTTTTATGGATGCGGAGCACCCGAAGTCTATAAGCCAAAATGTCCCAAATGTAGTCCGGGAAACGGGAAACCGAGCGAGGTTTCGAAAGCGATACCTCACCACGACCAAGTGATGTAAAATTTATCATCCGCCCTGATGTACAAGCTAATATTCAACCAAAGTTGGCCGAAATAATACCATACGAAGTTCGTATGCAGAAATATAAAAATATAAATCAAGGCCAAGATTTTTTATAATCAAGTTGAATCGCCTGTTCTAAAAAGCCGTTCGTCTAATCGGATGAAAACCTTCTGGAAAAATATCAAGCTCCAACGCCGTAATATAGGTTGCATTATTTCCTCCATTCAAAATAAAGGTGCAGATTTGAGACCATATGTGAAAATATCTATTCTCGACAGAACTATCTTAGCGCTTCTTGATAGTGGTGCACAGGTATCCTGCATAGGTAGCACGCTAGCCAAAGAAGTTTCAAACAGTAAGAAACTTAAGCAGCACCAAACGTCCGTCTGTACTGCTGACGGTAGACAGCAGATTGTTTTTGGTATGATCACTTTACCGGTGACCTACAAAGAGAAGATTGAAGCGATAAACTTTTTCGTTATACCTTGCATGTCACAAGATGTCATTTTGGGAATCGATTTTTGGAGTAAACTTCAAATTGCGCCTCACATAATTTCTCAAATTGATAGTGGAGATTTTAATGAAATTTCTGAAGATGAGAACCAACTTCGGTTATCTTGTGACCAGCAACTACAGCTAAATTTGATAAAATCGAGATTCCCTAATTGTGAGAAGGAGGGTTTAGGAAAAACTTTTTTAATAGAACATGTGATTGAATTAGAGCCCAATGTCCGTCCGATTAAACAGCGCTATTTCCTCATTTCGCCAGCTATTGAAAAGATTGTTCATAGTGAAATCGATGAAATGATCAAGTTGGGTGTGATAGAAGAATCCCCCAACAGTCCTTGGTCTAGTCCGGTAGTATTAGTTAGAAAGTCCGACAAAGTCCGTCTGTGTCTAGATTCACGGAAAATTAATAGTGTTACCGTCAAGGATGCGTATCCGTTACCGCATATAGAGGGAATTCTGAGTAGGTTACCGAAAGCAGAATTCATCAGCTCCCTCGATCTTCGCCGTGCATTTTGGCAAATTCCCCTTGCTGAGAATTCACGGGATTACACCTGCTTCACCGTCCCCAATCGTCCGTTATACCGCTATTGTGTCATGCCTTTTGGCCTCTGCAACGCCCCACAAGCACTATGTCGCTTGATGGATCGCGTCATTCCTCCCCAGCTTAAAAACCAAGTTTTTGTATACCTCGATGATCTCCTGATCATGTCCCAAGATTTCAAAACTCATATGTCCGTTCTGGCTGAAGTCGCTGTTCAATTAAGGAAAGCCGGTTTAACAATAAATGTTTCCAAAAGCAAGTTCTGCATTAAGGAAGTTAAATATCTTGGCTGTGTTGTTGGTAATGGAACATTGCGCACAGACCCGGATAAAGTTTCATCTGTTATCAACTATCCGGTGCCTACCAACGTGAAGCAACTGCGAAGATTCCTTCGAATGGCTGGTTGGTACCGCCGATTTATCGACAATTTTGCTACGATAACAACTCCCCTATCAGACCTACTTAAGAAAAGTAAAAGTTTTGCGTGGAACTCAAAAGCTCAAGAAGCATTCGATACTTTAAAAGATAGATTATGTTCCGCACCAGTGTTGGCAAATCCAAACTACCGAAAACCTTTTATAATACAGTGCGATGCCAGCAGGTTAGGTGTTGGTGCAGTTCTCTCACTTAAGAATGAAGATGGTGTTGAAACTCCGATTGCTTATTTTTCCCAAAAGATTAACAAAGCGCAAAGTAATTACTCTGTAACCGAGCTTGAATGTCTCGCTGCCATGCTTAGCTTGAAAAAGTTCCGTGCGTATGTCGAAGGGCAAGAATTTAAAATTGTTACTGACCACGCTAGTCTACAATGGTTGATGCGGCAACCCGACCTTTCCGGTAGGTTAGCACGATGGTCATTAAAACTTCAAGGATTTAAATTCACTATAGAACATAGGAAAGCTACACAGAATATTGTCCCTGATAGTCTATCTAGGCAGAATTTTGAAGATAAAGGTAATGAAATTGGCGAAGTTGTTGATTGCGATGTTCGTCCTCTTGTAGATTTAAACTCGCCAGAATTCAAATCGGAAGATTACGAAAAGTTAAAGTCACACATACGTAATAATTTTTCTCGTTTACCCGATTTGCAAGTTTTGAATGAACATGTATATAAGCGAACAGAATTTTCTTATGGCGATGCTGGAAATGAACAATTTCATTGGAAACTGTGGATCCCGAAGGAGTTGGTAGCACAGGTCATTGATAATGCTCACACACCCCCAAATAAATGTCATGGTGGTGTAGCGAAGACACTGCAACGCATACGCAAAAATCTTTTTTGGCCCAATATGACAGTCGATGTGAAAAATTTTGTTTCGAAATGTGAAGTATGCCACAAAAGCAAAGCGCCAAACATAACTCTGCGTCCACCAATGTCTGCCCAGTATACTGTGCAAAGGCCATTTCAAAAACTGTACGTTGACCTACTCGGTCCGTATCCTAGGTCTAGACGCGGACATATAGGGATTTTGATAGTGTTGGATCACCTTACGAAGTACCCACTTTTAAAGCCAATTAAGAATTTTCATGCATCGGGCATATGCGATTACTTACATGGAAAACAGTTTAAGTCGACACAATTCAACAACCTTTTAAGCCAACGTGGAATTCGCCACGTTTACACAGCGTTGTATAGCCCGCAGGCGAATGCCAGCGAAAGGGTCAACCGTTCTATCATAACCGGGATCCGCTCCTATATACAAAAAGACCAAAGTTTTTGGGACAGGCGTCTCTCAGAAATAGGCGAGGCTCTTAGGAGTTCGTATCACCAAACCATAGCTTGTACTCCGTATTACGCACTTTTCGGGCAGCAAATGTTGACTCACGCTAAAAATTATGAGCTCCTACGGAAACTCGAAGATTTGGACAGTAATGTGCTCGAAAAATCGGATAGATTGAAACTAGTAAGAGACGCGATAGTTAAAAATATCCAAGCAGCTTTTGAGGCTTCAGCGAAAAGATATAACTTACGTAGTAGTACAAAAACGTACAAAATAGGAGATATAGTGTTCAGAAGGAATTTTGTTCAGAGCGATGCAATTAAAAAGTTCAATGCAAAATTCGCTCCTAAGTTTGTCAAAGCAAAAGTCATTGGGACCAAAGGCAATTGTATGTACTTCCTTGAGGATGTAGAAACCAAAAGAAGGGAGTATTATCACCAAAAAGATATTCGCAACAGTAGCGAATAACTGCGACAACCGCACCAACACTTTTGGAGGGAGGGTGTGTACCGTCGTACAGGTATCGTAATTTTATACGCTCTTAATTTTTGCCGGCCACTTAATATCGCCACAACTGTAGGTTTTTTGACTGCTCTCTTCTGTTTTTTTCTCATATTCTCCCTTGGTTCATCTTTATACGTAATTGTGAGTGACTATAATTAGGTGATTATAAACTTAATTAAAACCACTTTTCAAAAGATAAAAAGAAAATACCTAAATTTTCGTCTGATTACCGGAGGTGTATCTTAGACTGTTATTTACCTTTATTTTCCGCAAAAATATTACCACATTTTCGAGTTGTGTTACTTTATTTTTTTTATGGTATACCATAAACTCCTAGCTCTGATCTAAAAAAAAGTAGTAAAATAGACAGGGATGATCAAGAAAGCACTTTTTGATCACGAGAAAGAGGTGTTAACATTTCCGTTTTACGAGGATCGCTCTTTTGGATTGAAGCCAGCGAGAGGTGCAGACATGTGCACAAAATTATCTACTTATTTTAAACTATAAGAAGAAAAGTAAATTCGGTTCGAAGTAAATTAATTTCGCGTTAAGTAGCGATATCATAAATTTTCGGCGCCATCCTCAAGATCCATTGCAACAGAGGCATTTAGGCAAAAGTAATGCCTTCCCCCAACTAAGTTGCAAGTTATATGCGGATAAGAGACTGCAGTAACACGCGGAACAATCACAAAAAAAAATTTCAACCCTAAATTCGGATTATAAGCTACAATCAACCGGCAGGCAACAACAAAGGCGATATATTTTATTTTTCATCAATTGTGGCCTAAACTCTCATAAAAAAATAATTTTGTTTCCTTAAAACTAGT